GCTCCGTACAGAAGAGCTCACTAACACACAGATTCAGTACAGACAAGCTCACTGACATACACATGCTTACTACAGACAAGCTCACTGTACACACATGCTCACCACAGACATGCTCCGACACACCCATGCTCCTTACAGACAAGCTCACTAACACACACACACATATGATCCCTACAGACAAGCTCACTGACACACATACAAGCTTACTCACTAGCAGGCACACACACACACAAACTCACTAGCAGGCACACACACACACAGGCTCCCTCACTAGCAGATGCGCGCACACACACACAGAGGCAGACAGTCACTGACACCCAGGCAGACAGCCACACACACACAGGCAGACAGTCATTGACACAGAGGCAAACACCCACACATACAAAGACAGGCAGACAGCCACACACATACACAGACAGACAGCCACACACAGGCAGACACTCACACACAGGCAGACACTCACACACTCACAGTCAGACACTCAGTCAGACAGTCACTCACAGGCAGTCACACACTCACACAGACAGTCACACACTCACACAGTCACACACTCACACAGGCAGTCACACACAGACAGTCACACACTCACAAAGACAGTCACACACTCACAGGCAGTCTCACAGGCAGTCACACACTCACAGGCAGTCACACACAGACAGTCACACACTCACAGGCAGTCACCCACTCACAGGCAGTCACCCACTCACACAGAGACAGTCCCACACTCACAGGCAGTCACACACTCACACAGAGACACTCACACACTCACAGGCAGTCACACAGAGACAGTCACACACTCACACAGAGACAGTCACACACTCACAGGCAGTCACACACTCACACAGAGACACTCACACACTCACAGGCAGTCACAGGCAGTCACACACTCACACAGAGACACTCACGCACTCACAGACAGTCACACACAGACAGTCACACACTCACACAGAGACAGTCACACACTCACACAGAGACAGTCACACACTCACAGGCAGTCACACACTCACACAGACAGTCACACACTCACACAGAGACAGTCACACACTCACAGGCAGTCACACACAGGCAGTCACACACAGGCAGTCACACACAGGCAGTCACACACTCAAACTCACACACTGACCTGCTTCTTACCTCCTGCTTGGAGCTCCTGGAGGCTGGTTGTTGGGGAAGCAGGGACTCCTTCCTGCTTCCCATGCTGCAGTCAGCCGGGCCCCGCCGCAGGTAAGCCCTGCCCCGCCGCACACTAAGCCCCACCCCCGTCGCACTAAGCTCCGCCCCTCCACCATTTTTAATTTTTATTTTTTTTTATGATCCCGGACGGCCGTGTGTGAGCTGTGCCGGCTGGCTCCCCCGGGGATCTCTGCGGCCACACAACTCGCACATGGCCGGCCGGGATCACAGGAACTGTCAGCCCAATGATCAGGGCTGTCAGACCGGCCCCAGGTGCCGCGGCCCACCGGGAAATTTCCCGGTATCCTGGTGGGCCAGTCCGGCCCTGCACAGACCCCCAGTCACTGGGGAAAGCGGGGATACCGCCTAGGACCCTGCCCGGCACCAACAATAACCCGGCTGGAGCTCGGAGCTCGTTGGGATGGGACGGCTGCTCTCCTGGGTCTCTGGCCGGCGTCTCTCATCCCCCCCCTGGACCGGGGGGGTCATCCCAACTGCCCTGGGGAGGAACATCAACCGGGCAACAATCCACAAGATGGCCGCCGGCCATGTGTGCAAGCTGCCAGAGAGATCGAGCTGTCACTTGCTCACAAGTGAGCCAACAAAGCTGAAGAAAAAGCACCCACTATTGTTCTACCAGCCTATTACAAAGCAGTAAAGCTTCTGGACGCTGCAACTGGGATTAAGCCACACTTTCATAGAAGTGCTGGCAATAGCACCTACCACAAGACACGACGACGCAGAACCCACCTAGACAGCACTAACCACCCAGGGCATCAAGACGGAAAGCGGCTAGGAGGTCTACTGGTTCAAGGACTGAAAAATTTTGGGGACTCACTGATGCTGCTGTAGCCCATCTGTGGTATAAGGTGACAACTAGATAAAGTGGTCCCTGCTGACACACAGCAAGATCATCTCCAGCAACGTAACGACTCTTTGTAATTCTCAGTCTCAGCATTACCTCTCTCTTACAGGACCCAGAGATGTTAATAGCTCATTGTCTTGATAATAGCACTCAGCAAACGAACACCATGTCTAATTAACATAATTTCCCCTAGCATGTATGTAAGTAGTGGGGAATTACGATGCAGCATAATAAATAACTAACCCCATTCAACTCCCCAATAACGACAGACAACTTAGTATGGATGAACAGGCCACAGCATTTATTATAACATAAAATAAATTACTGCATAACACATCCATAACTTTATTTATTAATTCTCTTCTTTTTCTGTAACCAAAACATTAGACATAAATAAGCATAAATTAACATATATACATATAACTCAACACAGTGTTATACAGTGACCCAACCGTCCTTGCCAATAAACATACATTGTTCCTAATTAACTTCCTCTCATCTCCTCCCTCGTCATAAAATCATATCTTTCCAATGCCCGCCATCAGCCGACCTTATCCACGCTCGATGGGCACGACACCTCAGGTAACCTAATGTTAACCCTTTGAAGCAGGGGAGGTTGAGACCTGCAAACATATTGAAACTTACGCCATCCTTAAACATAACCCCTCAAACTTAATTGGCAAGGAAATACCCCCGCCACCAGACCCGCTGTTTTACCCCTAAAATCAGCAGGGAACCCCACTGTGATGGACCGCTGGCACTCCGACTGAGTACCTCCGCCAATCGATGCTCCTAGTGCTCGCTGAGGACTCCAAGCACTCCAACCGACACCATCAGCACTGCAGACCCTAATTCCAGCGATGCAACTGCGCCGGGGTCTCTGCTGTCTCCACCCACCCTGGACCCAAGGCCAGGATCCAGCTTCCAGTGGGTGAACCTCTCTTTCCCCAGAGAGCAGGAACAGGAACAAGCTCTTAGCAGAACTTAGTGATCATACCCTGGGGAGTATAGTGATTATAGCAATCCCCAGAGTGTATTTCTCCAATCCCCCAAACATGAGCCAAGGCTTAATGCTGGAACAAGACTGATTTACTGGCACACATAACTCACAATTTATGCAACATAAAACTCCTCCTCTTGGCCAGGCTAGATAATTGAGTTTCTACAATACACAAAGCTCAATTATCTGCTGGCCAGAAATAATACAGTTTTTACAGCATTCATAACTTCTAAAATATACATCACATTCACATAAAAATTATATAGTCACAATCAATGCATTCAGGGAAACAACATAAAAAAATGGCATGAATCAGACCAGGGGTTCAGAAGTTAGTAAAGTATATTTTGGGGCCTGGCTGGCAGCATGGATATCTGGCCCAAACTGGTTTTACAGAGCCCTCTAGCCTGGAGACAATGGGGAAAGTAATCCAATTATCCAGGGATAGAAGCAGACTCCATTGAGCACATGTTCTCAGTAAAACACAAAAGGATACAAAAATACATAACTCCTATCATTCTGAATTGAACAGGCCAAATCTCCCAGGGTCCATAGTCGCAGGGCAAGAGGCGGGTAAGCAGTCCTCTCCAGGCACAAGTGGCGAAGGGCACTTCGTCAAACACCCACCAAAACCACCCATGGCCTGTTCCATTGCCTCCTGTAGGGTGAGATTAAAAAGGTTGAGCCTGTTGTAGAATTATTAGGCCTCTATAAATCTGTAAGGCCCCTTTAAATCCTCTTGTTATACCTCTAAGAGGCCCCCATAGTTTTACAAGGAAGCTTTGTCTATAGAACATAGAATTTGCATGTCAGCAAGAAATAGCTTTGATAAAATGTGTATTTGCTAAAATCCTTGAAACTTAACCTTGAGAAACTAACAAGTGCCAGCTACACTCCAAATGGATAGCTGCCAAAAGGCCCCTCCCGTCGAGTGAGCTCCTCATTTTAGCAAGATGGCGCTAAGACCTGTAGGAGTTAAGAAATTACGTAGATAGTGACCTAAGAATGGGGAGGGCATTTTACTAACATCTTAGCACCTAAGCCAATTAACAATGTCTATTTGTCTATATCTTGATTTTCTTCAATGATGTAATAATGCCTTTATAAGGGTCTGCGCACCCATTTTCTGTCAGAAGCCATTAAACTTCTCTGAAGTTCTTTCATTACCCTGAACCTTGTGTCTCAGTGTGAATTTACTTCTGCGTGCACGCAACTTTATTATCTTTAATTTGGACAGGAACAGATAGTCATTCAAACTAATTGGTTTGCAGTAAATTATCTAGAACAATTGGCGCTCTCAACGTGGGGCTCTGGGCTATGTCCAGTCTGGGCAGCTGTCCAAGAAGACGCTGGGGGGGCTGAATCCTGGGGGAAGGAAAAGAGCCTGATCACCTCTGAATACACGGTAGAGATTGCTGCAGCACCTAGCCGGTATGTTCCTGCCCCTGTGATTGACCTGCCCCAGTGTCTGTGACTGCTGCCGAGAGGACATCAAAGTCAGGTAATAACTTGCCCAGAGTCTTTGTATTGTTAATGATACCTAGTTTACCTGCATGTTGACTATCTGTTGCCTGGGTGTGTTTGTATTGGTATGTGTTTAACTTAGTACCCGGGGAGTGTAAGTGCCTGTTTAACCCCTTTTAGGTACCACATGCCTGTGGTAGTAAGGAAAAAGGGGGGTGGACCTGTGGAAGTTTTCCTGGGGGTCCTCTATTGCCTGTTTAACTCTTTTAGGAGCCACGTGGCTGTGGCTGTAAGGAAAAAGAGTAGGGGGGATCTGTGGAGGGCAGTAGACTCACTGCTTCCTGGGGATCCCCAGAGTGTCATTTTGACCGCTTAGCTAGCCTCATCAGACACTTCTTCTTGGTAAAATTCCAGTCTCAAGCGCTGAGACAGGTAAGATTCCAATTCTTTAGGCTATACAGGATTCGGGTTGGAAGCTGTTGCTGTTTCCTGTGGCTGCTGGTAGTGAGACTTGCGGGTGGGTCCGCAACAGGGACACTACGAGGTTGAGGGAGGTGGCTTTTGGCCACACGAGTAAAGGCAAGGGATAACACTGTTGAACTTATTTGAACTGTGATGCATGCACTGTATTTACACTGAAATGTTATTGACTTAATTGTCTGTCACACAGATTCCTGTGTTTACTTTTATCTTACTCACTGTACTATTTTCACTTTCCCCTCCTATTTCTCTTTCTCTTTGTTGAGAGAAGTGATTGGTCACACACTTCTCGCCACGCTCCAATCCGCGGCTACCACGGGTAGGCGGAATCAGTGACTAGTCTACGTTTTGGGAAGACGTACTTAAAGAGCTTGCTCTTAAAGTAGCAGTCGAGCACGGTAGACGTTCTGTTCCTTTCTCTCTCTATATCTGGGACGCCTTGTATGGGGAGGATGGGACAGAAGTTAGATAAACCCAGTAAGGGTTGGTTAGCATGTGATCTAGTGGAAGACAGAGAAGGAGAAGAGATGGTTAAGAAAGTGAGTAAGATTGCTAAAGTATGTGGAATTACCGTACCTCTGTGCGGCAGATTGTAGCCAGAGAGCTGGCGTAAGTTACTGACAGAAGAAAGGGAAGCTGTCGGACCAAGATTTGGTTTGTACAGCAGAAGCCTGGTACCGAGTAGCAAGAGCTATTCAGCAAAAGGGATAGGTTGAGGAAGATATTGATCACAAAGGTTTAAGATTGTATGTATATCATAATAATTGTGTTACTGGGAAGTTATCCCAGCCCCTGTCCAGGAGGTGACCACTTCCATCATCCTGTCAGTAATGACCGAAATGTAGCTGACCATGGTCACCATCCCACCCCAATCTTAAAACGCTGTGGGGTTTTTTGTATTTTGTGTTAGCCATTACCCTGGTAGAGGGTGGGGGTATAAATGAAATGTTGTGTTTTTGTGTCTCTTTGCTTTGTAATGTAATTGTCCTTCTGTCTTGTTACTGTACAGCGTTGACATGGTTAAATTCGTGCTGGCAGGCAATCTCTCTCTTGTTCCACTCAAATCCCCCTCTGCTAAAACACCCCCCCTCCCCTCGCTTCTGTGAGACGCGGGGGGGGTGACATGCTTGCGATTTAGGTCTGTCTCTTCGGTGTTCTGTAGAGTTATTCAGAAGCTACTGATAAGAGTATAAGGTACTGAGGATTGTGGGAGTGACGAGCTCACAAGATTGCATTCAGTGTTGAATACGGGATTTAGGAAGGTGTAGAGGGAATATGCGATGTTGTTAAGTCAGTATAAGAGGAGGAAAGTGATTAATGGTTTGAGGAAGATAGGGGAATTTGGTTGAGTTCCGCGAGTTTATCTTGCATCATTTTAAAGAACATGTTTCTAGAAGACAGCTGTATGGGCTGTTAAATGCATAATGTTTTCAACTGTCTTATTTAACCTGCCAGGTCTGTTCATAGTTTAGTATTCCATTTTGCAGAACAGAATGTTGCTTCTCTGACTTATTTTAATAGTTTTAATATAGTGTATGGTTGAAAGTACGTCAACCACCACCCTAAAGATGGCGCCTGCCAGTCCCGTGACCTATCCACAGTCACGGTTGCTTCTAAAGTAACGTCACTTCCGCCCTTACCATGCCCACACCTCCTGTCTTCCTTTCCCACACATATCATGGACGTCACCCCTCTCACTTCCTCCCTTGCTGTCATTTCCTTCCCCGCCCCTGTCATGGCTGCCTCCATCATGAGGCCTACCCCTATTAGAGACATGTGGTTTTCCTTACACTCTACATATTATGAACTGAAACATTATAATTACTGGAACAATCATGCCATTTGTTTCCCTGTATCAGAAATTTGTCCGTGATAAAAAAAAAAAAAAAGAAGGTTGCTAAAATGTAATTTGCAAATGTGGTGTGACCTACATATGAAATCTGTTGGACACGAATATAAGAGCATAACAGCTGATTATCCAGATTAATCTTGCAACAAGGGAAATAGCTAAATAATGCAAGTTATTTTAAACATTGTATCTTTACTTAATCGAATCTTGCTAGTTACAGATCTTATGTTTACAGTAACATCCTTTACTTTAAATGATGGTTTAGCATTGGAAGGGTTTGTGACATGTTTATTAACCCAGCCACTACTGGTTATTCATTTTAGTTACAGGGTGGTATAATTGTTGTAGTCTAATTGATATAAATGATGGTACCGCAATAGTTAATGTTTTATCCAAAGACATATAGGAACTTTACTTAACTTACTATTAACCATTATTTATAATGATAGACATGTTCAGACTGCAAAAAGCTATGGCTAATGACATACAAAAGGGGTTTGAGTCAGTAACACAGCCCATACTGAGGAGAGCAAACCCGCTGATGCTTAAAGCCCCTGCCATGGCAGTGTCTTCAGGGGAACAAGGGGGGCCTCTAGCTACTGTAATTTTACCCATTGAGGGCCAGCCCACCACTTTCCTAGTTGACACAGGTGCAGCCTGAAGTGTTCTGAGAGAACAAGACCTGCCCGATACCTCATTTCTTTCCAATATTGATGTCTCCTGTGTTGGGGTGGACGGCCTTCCAAGGCAAAGTCCCCTGTCCACCCCACTGCGGGTTGGTAACTGCCACAACTTGCTTGCTCGCTTTGTGGTATCTTCCACATGCCCCATTAACCTGTTAGGAGCTGATGTTCTTTCACGCCTGCAGGCATCCATCACCTTTACTCCAGATGGACAAGTGGAACTATCCACCCCTCTATCTGTCTCAGACACCTCAGCTTTGTGCTCCTTACCCCTGATGCTACATCTAGAAGAGCCTCATGGGGATGCAAAAGACCTAAGGACTAATTTCCCTGATTCACTAAAGACTGATGTTCCCAAGAAGCTGTGGTCCACAGGCCCAGAGGACATAGGCCATCTAAAGGTCCCGCCTGTGGTGGTAAAGCTCATCCCAGGCGTAAAATTGCCACGAAAATCACAGTATCCTTTGAAACCAGCTCAAGCTGCAGCCATTACAATTCAAATTCAAGCACTCCTGGAGAAGGGTGCTCTTGTCAAATGTGAATCACCATGCAATACTCCATTATTTCCAGTAAAGAAAAAGACTCCAAAAGGCGAACCAGAAAAGTACAGATTGGTCCAAGACCTCAGAGCGGTAAATGAAGCCACAGTTTTGGACACTCCAATAGTGCCCAACCCACACACTCTCCTTTCCGGCGTTCCACCCTCTTCCAAGTACTTCACTGTAATTGATCTAGCCAATGCCTTCTTCAGTGTTCCCCTGGATCCAACTTGCCAATATCTGTTTGCTTTCACACATGACAAACAACAGTACACATGGACTGTCATGCCCCAAGGGGCACAAAATTCACCAAGTCAATTTGCGAAGGCCATGTGCTCTATCCTTGATCCATGGCAATCTGACCATCCTGAGGTCGTCCTGCTTCAATATGTGGATGATTTGCTGCTTTGTGGAGATGATATACCCACAACAGAACAATGCTCACTTAATCTTCTTTGCTACCTAGCAGAACAAGGATGTAAAGCTTCACGTCTCAAGCTGCAATTCTGCCAACCTACTGTTATTTTCCTTGGCCATTGTCTGTCTCAGGGAACCAGACATCTTACCCGTGACCGAGTTAGAGCGGTACTGGACATTCCACCTCCAAGGACCTCGAAGTCACTACACGCCTTCCTAGGCCTCATTTCCTATTGCCGAGCATGGATCCCAGAAGCCTCGCTCCTTATGCAACCTCTTTATGATGCTCTCAAGTCAGACCCATTTTGCTTGTCCACAGAAGCCCTTGACAACTTCTGTTCTCTCAAACGTGCTATTGCTTCTGCTCCTGCTCTTGGCCTACCAGACTATACCAAACCCTTCACATTGTTTGTTTCTGAAAGACAAGGCCATGCAACAGGAGTACTCACTCAGGCCCATGGTCCTGGAGGCCGCCAAAGGCCTATTGGATTTTTCTCCTGCCAACTGGATATTGTGGCCAGAGGACGTCCCTCTTGCCTTCGGGCCGTCTTTGCTGCCAGAGAGCTCATTGAAAGAACTGGGGATCTTGTCCTTGGCCACCCCCTGGTTGTCTTGGCCCCTCATGACATTTCTGCCATAGTCAACCAGGTCCAGCTTAAGCATGTTACTCCTGCCAGGCATCTTCGCCTTCAATGTCATCTTTTGTTGCCTGACAACATTACCCTCCAAAGATGTCAAGTTCTCAATCCGTCCACTCTTCTGCCACTCCCTGAGGGGGGTGTATACTACGGATTCATCATGGACGAAACTTATGTTTCTCTTCTCACTGGCACCATCAGGAAGGAAATGCATCCCAACCTATCCTTTTATGATGGACAAGCACTCCTTCATGACGGAGCAGGACATGCCTTCTGTACCATGTGGTACAAACCAAACATCACTCCTGAACCCTGCTATGAAGATGAACTCTATAAGCTGGTTGAAGTAAAACTCACTGCACAAGACTTCTACTGTGATTCTGAAGGCAACAGTATGGTCTTGATTCATCTACCTCCGGAACTCAAGCATTTGTACCGTCATTGGGACACTGCCATTCCACATGTCCCTGTGACCAAGTTGAAAACAATATCATGGAATGATCTTGGGCCTATGGCAAAAGCATGGGCCACTATGGACGAATCACAGCTACAGGAAAATGGTGTTGTCAAATATCCAACAACTGACCACCTAAAAGCATGGCCGCGTCATTTCCTGGAGAATGAGTTCCAAGATTTAACCATAGTGAATGACTACGACCCAGATACACCTCATGACTGTTTTGAACAGATGAAAATGGAAACAACACATCTACCAACTGTGCATGAAGACCCATTGGTAGATCCCGATCTCACCCTGTTTGTGGACGGCTCAAGATATGCTGATGAAGAAAGAAGATACCATACAGGATATGCCGTAACCACAACAGATGAAATTGTCAAATCATCATCTTTACCATCAACTATGTCTGCACAAGAAGCTGAATTGCAAGCCCTGACTTCAGCATGCAAGATCTCTGAAGGAAAGCGCGCCAATATCTACACGGATTCAAGATATGTACTGGGCGTGGCTCACGACTTCGGATTAATTTGGAAAACAAGAGGATTTCTTACCACCGCCGGTACACCAATCAAGCACGGTTCCGCGATCAAGGAGCTGATGGACGCCCTCCTACTCCCAGAAGAAGTGGCTATTTTGAAGATAAAAGCACCTGGGAAGTTGGACTCAGATGAAGCAAAGGGCAACCATCTAGCTGATCAGGCTGCAAAACAAGCTGCACAAGAACCACAGGAAGTGGAAAGAAGAGTGTCCGGAAATGAAGAAACTCCCATATTTACTCTGCAGACTCTTCCAACTGACCTGAAAATCCTGCTGGAACAACAGGCTACAGTTGCCCCTGAAGAAATACAGAAGTGGAAACAGAAAGGGGCAGTTCTGAAGGATGGAGTGTACTCCAACAACCTCAATTTCTGCCTCCCTAAGAATTTGTACCCAGCAGTCGTACAATGGGCACACAGACCTGCACATTTATCAAAAGATCTAATGAATGCTCTTGTACAAAAATACTACCTCATTGTCCCCATACGAGATTCTATTTGGGACTGCACCTAGGCTAGGTTGCTATTTTCCCCAACAACTACAACTTCAAACTGATGTTTTAGTAGATTATGTAACTGAACTCGCAAATGCTTTGAACAAAATCCATGTCCAAGTTTTCTCTAAAATTCCAGATCCTGATTCTGACACAGGCAACCACAGTCTGCTCCCCGGTGACTGGGTTCTGGTCAAGAAATTTGTGCGAAAACATACCCTGGAACCAAGATTTGACGGACCGTTCCAAGTTCTCCTGATCTCCCCTACCTCTGTCAAATTGGCCGGAAGGCCTAACTGGATCCACGCTTCCCACTGCAAGAAGACACCTGCCCCAGAGGAAGCTAACTCTATGCAACCATGTGCCTCTGGTACATTATCTCCTTAGTTGGCCTCCTTAAAGCCCAGCAGGTGGCCATCACCAAAGATGCTAGTGGGTACACTTTCTGGTATAATTCATCATGTACCCATGTGGCTACATTCACTTTTGATTACTGTGATATTGTAGAGTGCCCATTCCCTAAGTCACAGATTCAAGCCATTTATAAAGATATACCACAAGCAAAAGACCCTTACGTTTGTGTAGTAGATGAACAATGGGGTTATGACTGTAACTACTGGGGGGCTGCGGGATGGAATACTGGGCCTGCCTGGGGTTATAAACCCAAAAGTGCTTTATCTAAGATAGACAATCAGGGTAGATCCCTCCTTCAAAGAATGACTTTAAGAAAGCCTGGAGGAAGTACCCCTATGAAATTAATGTTAAATATTGAACATCCTGGCCCCGAGGATGCAGACCGATATGTAATGGGAATGTATTGGAAGAAAGGTTCCTACAACAAATTAGGTCATTTCTACCTCAGAGATATGTCCCACTCTCCAGAGTGGCAAGGGGCTGATCATATGGTCCCAAATCCGCTAAAACCACATATCCAGTCCTTTAAAGATATGATGGCCATCGCTAACCCCACTTTTGAAGATACCATGGCCGCTGAAACTGGATTCAATGACATTAATCTGTGGTTAGAATGGATGAGGTATAATGCTAACAAACATAATAAAACAGCATGTTATGTATGTGGCGGTGCCCGACCCCACCTTGGCACCGTCCCCCTAACTCTCCCTTTAGAGATAGAAGATTGCTTCTTAAGCCTTTTTGCCTACCAATATGACTTTAATAGGTCCCTCTGCATGGCATGGACGGCAGAATACCCTCTCTTAGTTGAAAATGTTAAGCCACCAGATGGAGTCACAGTCTATAGAGGTAATTACACTTGTTATGCCATGTATGACGGGATTGGTAAATTCATGGGTAACTTTTCTAAAGGTTATTGCGCCACTTACAGAACTGTTCCTATACGCCTGTTGCAACACCATACCAGGTCATTGGGGGATATTTACTGGTTATGTGGGGATCTACAGTTAAGATCTAGGCTGGAAACTGAGTGGTGGGGTGAGTGTACCCTGGCCAAAGTTATCATGCCCATTCATATTATTTCTGATAATCATCATGACACATACGACCCTCCACATACATCAGCCAGAGTAAGGCGCGAAACCCCAGTAAAAGGCAGTTTTGACCCCCACATTTACATAGATGCCATTGGGGTGCCTAGGGGGGTACCTAATGAATTTAAAGCTAGAGATGAAGTAGCTGTGGGTTTTGAATCACTTTTTACCATAGTCACTGCCAACAAAAACCTTAATTGGATTAATTATATCTATTACAACCAACAGCGCTTCATGAACTACAACAGGGATGCCCTCCAGGGCTTGGCCGAGCAATTACAGGCCACATCCCAAATGACCTTCCAGAACAGACTGGCCTTAGACATGATCTTAGCCGAAAAAGGGGAGTCTGTAAAATACTTCCCGACACTATGACTTGTTGCACTTACATTCCAGAAAACACAGGTCCTAATGGTAAAGTCACTCTGGCCATAGCTAAATTAAACAGACTCTCAGAAGAGTTAAAGAGACACTCTGGAGTTACTGATCCCTGGGAAAAATGGTTTGGTTGGATGACTGGTTGGCAGAGAGCTTTAGTCCAGATTGGTATTGCCTTACTAATTTTTCTTTTTATTCTCGCTCTTCTCATTTGTTGTGTCCTCCCATGCCTAAGGAAATTCCTGCAGAAAACTGTAGACCAAGCAACACCAACCTTCACTCATCTGACAATCGATGATCAAGACCTCATCTCACCCTGTATTCCGCTACAAACTCTCCCTTATACTGATGAAGTGCAGAAAGTCTAGGAAGGGACAGTACAGGGACAGCGTCCGTCTTTATGGGTAGACTGCCGTACGGAGAAGTAGTGGATAAGCCACTATGGGTTACCAGCGGAGTGAAGAGTGTTCCTGAACCGTACTGACGGATGTGCTGCAGCCTGTTAGGGTCAAGAGAGGGATAGACTTGCACTTTGCATTAACACTAAGTCAGCGGTCATGGGGTTTCTGTGTCTTTGGGCTAATACTTCTTCTGATACTAACAAATAAAGTTTTGTCTTTTAGCAAATAACATTTTAGGGGGGACTGTTGTAGAATTATTAGGCCTCTATAAATCTGTAAGGCCCCTTTAAATCCTCTTGTTATACCTCTAAGAGGCCCCCATAGTTTTACAAGGAAGCTTTGTCTATAGAACATAGAATTTGCATGTCAGCAAGAAATAGCTTTGATAAAATGTGTATTTGCTAAAATCCTTGAAACTTAACCTTGAGAAACTAACAAGTGCCAGCTACGCTCCAAATGGATAGCTGCCAAAAGGCCCCTCCCGTCGAGTGAGCTCCTCATTTTAGCAAGATGGCGCTAAGACCTGTAGGAGTTAAGAAATTACGTAGATAGTGACCTAAGAATGGGGAGGGCATTTTACTAACATCTTAGCACCTAAGCCAATTAACAATGTCTATTTGTCTATATCTTGATTTTCTTCAATGATGTAATAATGCCTTTATAAGGGTCTGCGCACCCATTTTCTGTCAGAAGCCATTAAACTTCTCTGAAGTTCTTTCATTACCCTGAACCTTGTGTCTCAGTGTGAATTTACTTCTGCGTGCACGCAACTTTATTATCTTTAATTTGGACAGGAACAGATAGTCATTCAAACTAATTGGTTTGCAGTAAATTATCTAGAACAAGCCCAACCTTCGTTAGGTGTACACCACCCCTCCGAAAAAAATTGTCCGCCTCCTGCTCTATGGCGGACCGGGATCCCCTGAACCCCCAAAACAAACTGGGAAACCCGCCTGTTTAACTTGCGTCAGCAACGCTCCATGGCACTCTGGCTCCAGACGCCACGCCAATAGTTACGGGCAATGACCACCGACCAGACCAAGCGCATGTTGGGGAACAAAACCAAAATGCAAAATCAAATCCCAAATGGGCACTGAACCCAGATCATTCCCCCCCAGGTGGATCACCAGGACACTTGGCACCCCCAGGAGATGGGACAGCTGCACCAACTCAGGGAGGAGCCGAACCCACCTCATACCCCTCGCACCGAGCCATCGAACCTCTGCTTCGGAAAGGCATGAAACCCAACTGCTCACCTCCAGGCCGAACCGCCGCACACTGCCCAGCCCCGTAAACATAAGAGTGCCCGATGATCCAAATCCTGGGGGGAACCAAAACTGCGGAAAGAAATTACATCGGTAAACTGGCCGGACAAACATAGGAAACATAGCGTCTAGATTCCCACCTACCAATCCACTGAACCACCTGCGCTGGCATGCCAAGCCTAGAGGCCTCGGTAGCCGCCCCAATACGGAACGAATGGCCCCCGAACTCCCTGCTATCCAATCCCATGGCTTCCAGCCCCAAATGAAACACTCTAATAAACTGGAAATGGGAAAAGAAACTACCATCCCCATGCACCAGGAGGGGCAGCGCGGGAGAAGGGCGCAAGGCGCAATATTCCCGAAAGGACCAAACAGGACAAATGCCGAAACCCGGCACGGCCCCCAACTGGACCCACTTTCCCCTCCCCAAGACATCCGTTTTAGAGTGGCAGATACTGAACGAGATCCGATCTGTGGTGCATGAAACATCCCCAAATAGAACCCCCCCACCTGCTGCCGGCTGGGGCACACCAGCTCCCAAATCCTCATGGCACCAAAGAATGCCAGGGAAAAGGCCAGGCGTTCAACGCTGTGGTGAAAGTGACTGCGCCACTGTTTGCCAGCCTCCTGCCCTGCGACTATGGCCCTGGGATGTATTGCTCTTTAAGGAACTGATTTGGGCATATTGTATTTTATTATGCTGCTGGCCCTTTAAGAACTGTACAAAGAAGAGTGTTCTGTGTATAAAGGTGCTTAGTAGATAAACCAAACAATAGATGCAGGTTAAAAAAGCAGCTTTGTGTGTGTAAATACCCCCAAATTCCACACACAAAATATAATACAAAAAACAGATAACCCAGGTGGTTCAAACCACTAACTACAGGTGTCTCTTAGTGGATCGCTAAGAAAAACAAACTTACCCCTATATACAATGGGGAAATATGTAGTAATATAATCCCTATATAATAAAGAGATATACACAATAGTGAAGTATGTCAAAGTCCAATAGCATAATTGTGAAAATAATAGAGACCACACTCACATGGTTAAGAGCCACATACCGATAGGCTCAAATCACTTCAGCATAGGTATGTTAAGGTAATACCAAAACCTTCTTGTGGTGTCCGGTCAGTTCTCTCACCAAAAAAGGAAGAGAGACAAAAGAAAGCTTCTTTGTGCAGTATAATCAAGCTGTTAACTTGCAAATATCCTATATAGTATGAAGTAATTGCTCACCTTATAAAGAGCCAATTATACTAGGCTCTTAGTATACAAATAGATGTGTTATTCAGGGGAACACAACCCCTCTTGACTCCAGGAAAAACAGCAGAGGACTAATAGGTACAAGTATACTAAAAAGGGCACTTTATTAAAACAACAAATCATCTAATAATAAAAATGTGCAGTAATACCAGTCCACTATATAGTCCACTTCTGAGACGCATTTCGCTTGTGCAGCTTTATCAATCGGGATGCTGATTTCCTTTGTCCGTCTGGAATATAAACCCCAAGGTCCTCCTTTGATTGGCTAATGCTGTATTCCAAACGTCAATCCTCTTCTTCGTTTGCTGAGGTGTGTCACAATCAGCTGGAGCTGTTCATCACTTGATTCCGAAACCAGAAGTGATGCAATGGACCAGTACGTGACATCACTTCCGGTTGTCTGTATCCAGCTTACAGACACTTAGCAGCCATCTTATTTGAGGGCGAATGCCAGTCCTCTTAATAGATATACAATTCCACGCCATAAAGAAAAAAAGGAAGAAATATCTTAGGTTAGGGACCATATATATAAAATAACCTCTAAATAAGAATATAACATTAGACTTAAAATTAATACATATATATAAACAATGTATAAAAACCTCCCACTATTTTATATAAATCATAAGAACCCATCCATCTTGTAACTGACCGTTTTGCACACAAGGGGTAAAAACCATTTAGGCGATCGTCCCCTTCCAGAGATGCAGGCACAGCTACTGCAGAACACCAATCCGCCGAACAGGAAACCATATGAATGCTGTAAACAGCCGAATAAGAAAAACCATACGCATAGGTTTACACTCCTAGCAGTCGAACTGGAACAGCATACAATAAATCCCCCCAAGAACGAGACAAAGCTCCGTGTTGAGGGTCAAGCAGTGAACAGACAGAGCTGTGGGTTTATTGTGCTTATGTACACATTCTTACACATTAGTACCACCCACAGGGTTTTGGAACACAACCAATAAACACATACAATACACTCAGACACTCCCACAAAAATTCCTCCCCTCTGCTTTCTAATTCAATTACCTTACACAATGGGTAATGTAATTTAGCACAAGAAGAGAAATACAATTTTTCCACATTATTCATAACTTGAAAAGTATGCATCACATTCACATAAAACTTAAATTTTCAGAATCAGCATACTCCAAATACAAATCATACAAATTGGTCCAGTGGTTCAAAAGATAGATCGTAGTCCTTTGTGACCACAGGAAGAATGGCTTTTCTGCCCAAAACCAGTTCCACAGAGTCTTCTATCCTGGAGATAATTAGAAGTAATCCAATTATCTCCAAAGACAGAGGCAAAACTCCATTGAACACATGGCAGCAAAAAGACAGTAAAATACAATAAAATACACAATGTTACATTTATGACATAAAATACAGACATGCAACATATGCCCAGATAGCTTAGGTCTAAGCGCGCATTATTACTGAATAGCGCTCAGAGCACACACATACAGTTCAATTGCCATGGAGCCAAAGTCTTTCCCATAGTCTTCCATTATACGAATGGGCTCCATGGCATAGCTATCTGGGGTATCACTGATCAAACAGGGCAAGCACCAAATGACCTGGCTTTCTTGTCTTTGCATGGGAAAATCAAGCCTTTTAACATGGGGCCATAATCCCAAGGCAACAGGCGAGCAACCCGGCTTCTCCAATGCAAGGTGGTGAGATTGGTCTCGTCACACATCTTAATAAAAAATAAATAAAAAAAAAATAAAAATAAATGATTATAAAAAGTGACAGAGCTCAAAATCATTATTAAGGCCATTTGGTTGAAGTGTATTTAAATTAAAAATCCAATTAATTTCAGACTGGCCCATTTTCTTAATAATATTGTCTCTCCAGTTAAAATTAACTTTTTGAATACCTAAAAATTGCATAAAACTAGGGTCACAATTATGTTTCAATTTAAAATGTAGGGACAGACTGTGTTTAATGAAACCATTTTTAATGTTACGGACATGCTCTTGAATTCGAACCTGTAATGGTCTAGTAGTACGTCCCACATATAATAGTTTGCATGGACATGAGATCATATAGATCACATGTTTTGTGTGGCACGTAATAATTTCTTTAATAGCTAATTTTTTATTAGTATCTAATGGATGTGTAAATTCTTTAACATGTCTTTTTGTACTTTTTGTATTTTTACAGGCTCCACACAGCCCACACCCATAGAAACCTTTTGGCTCTTTAAATGGGTTCTGAGTAATTTTTTTAAACACAGACTGATTTTGTGTTAAACTATTTCTTAAATTCAGGACTCCCCTATATTCAATTCTTGGTTTGTCCGGTAAAATTGAATTAAGAGTCTCGTCACTTTTTAAAATCGGCCAGTATTTATGGATAATTTTCCTTAGTTGTTTATTCTGACAGTTAAAACCACAAATAAAAGATATTATATTATCCAATTTTGGTCTCTTTTCTTTATAATTTAACAATGTATTTCTTTCTTGTGTATCCACTGTTTGAAAGGCTTCATTTAATAACATTTTGTCATAGCCTTTATCACCTAAAATCTTCTGTGCCTGTTCCTGAAAAATGGCATTATCAGTACAATTTCTTTTCGCCCTCAGCAATTGTGCCTTGGGGGCATTTAACCATTTAATCTGAAATATAGTGTTTAGGAAAAAGAGGAAGAAAAGAAAGGATATAAAAACTAATGGGATCTTCAATTTAACTGATAGAGTGTTAATTATTCCCCAAAAATCTTTATTAGAGAAGGGTTTAAAATTTGCCCCAACAAAATCTTTGAATAAGTTCGACAAATATATTGACCTAAATAAATTTAAAAGGAAGATGACCTTAAAGAAATTTTTTGCTAAAAATCCTTTAGCAGAAAGAGAACCACAGATGGACACTAATTTTGTCCATACAACTTTAAAGAACCCGACCCATTTTTTTCCTAAACACTATATTTCAGATGAAATGGTTACTTTTGAAAAGATGGTCATGTACGATGTGAACAAATTGAAAAGAACTAAAGAAGTAAACTATAATTTGAATAGAGCTGAACGTTGTAACGGATCACCTGGCACCCCGACTGGGTA